AAAAAAAAAAAAAAGAAAGAAAGAAAAGGTGGAGAGTGGAGGCAGAAGCTTAAACTTCCTTAACTACCTCCTGCTTTTTGTTTTGGTTTGTGTTGGTTTTTTTCTTTGCTGGTAGCATCTCTTTATTTAGGSTCCCTAATTATGTTATGAGCAACCTTGAAGCTTTGTTTATGCATTACACTGTAGCCTGGAAAAGAGAGCAAAATAATCATTATAATGTGTTTAAAAAATGGAAAGCCTACAAAATCTAGATACTTTTTATTCTTTTTTTTTTTTTAATTTAGCTATATTTTAGGAGGACATAGTCATCTGGTGTAAACAGATTCAACTCTTTTGAGGCAAACACCATCRGTTCACACCAGTTAAGAGGTCTGACTTTTTCTCTTGTAGACCCTCTTTTAGAAGAAATAGATGTTTTTGATTTGGATTTGTTGAATTCTGTGGGCATAATAATACATTTTCACGACTTTAACTCACAGAGCTGCACTAAGTGCATTCTTGCATTACCAGTTAGACCTACTTGGATTTCTAGGAATGTAATGACTCCAGCTGACAACACAGTTGTGCTAACTGTGAAGGCAAGAGAGAAGGACGTGCATATATTTTAATGCATAACTGCATGCATGTTTTTGAAAWATCTGGAAATCCAGGAGTTCTGTGAAACTCCTATGAAATGCAAATAATGAAATGCATACATGTATGCAAAAAAAAGTATACACGTTTATGTATAATGCAAAACATATACTGCAGAAACTTCTCTCTAACATCAGGACATTTTCTCTCTTTCTTTTATTTTGTAAATGTGGAAGAGTGGAGGCTGAGGACAAGGACAGATACAGTTTTGAATGTGGGGAAAAAAAACAGTGACTATGACCAAAACAGTTTAATAATAATTCAAGATTATGCTTAGATGTTTAAGCCAATGCATGAAGCCAACCCCAGTACATCAACTTGCAGTACTTAAAAACAGTTAATGTGTTTTGGTTTACTTGTTATTTGGTTGAGCAGATGGTAATGGTTTTGACACAATTCAGGGTTTTTTTATTTTTCTTCTTTTCTTTTCTTGAAAAAGACGAGGCTCTTTTTCCCACTTTGTCACAGCTGGTTACCAATCAATCTCAATTCACGGTACAGTGATGATAGCACATGTTGTTTGGGGGCCAAATCTGATTGGGTTGCATTTTCAGCAGTGTTTCATATCAAAAAAAAAAAAAAAAAAAGTGTCTGTATGGCAGTGACTGTCAGCACACTATTGTACAACTGTCATTAATCAAAACTAGCAACAATGAGCGCATTCATATGTGCCAGAGACTGCCAGATTTCACTCAAAATCACCCAATTTCTATTGGAGTTTCCTCACCAGCAGTGTTTTCTCATCTGCTTGTTGTTTCTGTGCGTTTCTTCCTTTCCAGTCCCTTCCCCCCACTCCTCCTCAGCTAATTGAAAGCAGACCTGCTCTAACTATGACTTGTAGAACAGAAGTCATGTCCTGCGATGCCTACAAGTGGCTGGTTCACATCTGCACCCGGGCTGACTGGCTGTTTAAAGGACATCTCCCAGCTCAGTATCATGGCTGGAGTCTAAGCTAAAATGAAAGGTTAAGAACCAACAAATGTTTAACAAGAAGAAATATTTAAAGTCAGTTAGTTGACTATAAACATAGGGAGCTGATGCCCGAGGCCCTGCGTTTTGTGCTGCGTTTTGGCGTTAGTTGGCTAGGAGTCAGCGCCGTTTGGGTGGTATGTTGGAAGGTGTTTCTTGACGCCGCGSGCGTTGCAGAGGCAGGAGGGCGTTCCTTGCGCGTTGGCACATCTGAGGACCAGCTTGACCAGCACACTGSGATGGGTTTTCGCCACGCCGTCGGCAATCCAGGAGTCTGTGGTTGGTATGAAGGCARTCAGGGAGAGCCTGGTTCTGCAGTGTCAGTGACAATAATCCAGATGCGAGTTAACTTCTCCATAAACTCCGATGGAAACACCTTGTTGTGGAAATACGAGGCTCGGAGACCAAGAGAAGACAAGATTCCCAGTTCAACACTGTACAGGTGGATGTCTGAAAAGTAAAAAAGGATRCAAAAAATATTGAGGCTTCCCACCTTACTACTTCACAGCCCGTTTCTCAGCCGGGCTCCTGGCGCTGCGGTGCATCCGGCCGGGAGCCAGTTCCCTGCTCCTCACTGCCTCGCTGTCTGTCAGAGTGCATCACTGAACCGCGGTGACTGCTGTGGACACGGTGGCTCCAACAGATGCCTGAGGGGCAGCGTGTCGGGACTCGGGGACAGCAGATGGTTCCGGTGTCCCGCGAGCCCATCTGTGTGCGAATCTAATTGCTTGGATGGCCGTGTCCCAGCCGGGTGGTCCCCAAACCCAGTATGGTCCCGTGGCACGGGCCCGCTGGGCTAACGRCCTCTCTGCAGCCCGACGGGGGTGACGCCCTGGCTGCACGTCCTGCCGGGCCACGGAGCGCCCCATGGCCGGCGGCGAGCGGAGGGGCCACCCAAGGCCCCACGGCAGCTGCCCAGCCCGGCGGCACCAGCGCTGAGGTGGAGGTGGAGGTGGAGGTGGAGGTGGAGGTGGAGGTGGAGGTGGAGGTGGAGGTGGAGGCGAGCGGGGCAGCTGCCGCCCAGCGCCCCGGCCATGGCGGCCGCGCGGCCCTGCGGCCTGGCCGCGTCCACCGCCGCACTGGCGAGCGAGCCGCGCGTTGGGCGCCCGCAAGATGCAGAATGGGAGCAGCAATAATAATAATGATAATAAAGAATACTAATAGTAATATCTGTGTAAYAAAATAAATAGCTAATTGCTGCCTGGCTTCGTACATGTGATTCCTGTTTGCAGCTCGTGTTTGTGCTACAGCTGGTCCTAATTTTGCCGTCCTACAGGAGCTGAAGGCAGCCTTACATTTTCAGTCCCCTAGGGCTGGCCTTGTGTCAAGAAAATAAGCGTTTTCTCTTGTCTGCAGCTCTGTGGTGGCCAGAGACAATGGCTGCCCCATCATTGCGGGATGCTGTTGTCATGTTTGGGAGATTTTTAGGGGAGTCAAATTGCATTTGCTCTCATATGAAGGCAGTGTTTTCTATTTACCATTAATTAGTGCAGCACAGCATGAGGAACTGCATAATTTAGTGAGGAGTCCAGAAAAAAAATGTCCCTCAAAAACATATGGCTTTTGACTGTGTAGTTGCAGTAGTTCAGTGCTATCCAGAAACTGAATACTAAGGTCTCTATTTCCATTTGCTCCTGAGCAGAGCAACACGAGCAAAATAATGGTGCTAATAGTTTCTTCTGTATGCCGTGGCATCCCCTTGTTCTACCCGTTGGCATATCCCTCATTCATTAGTTAAATCTTAGGTAATGCGTGTGCGAACAACTAAGAGTGGCACCTAAAGAAAGAGCTGGCCATGTTTATGTGCCTGTTTAGGCACATTCCTGATAGAATGGTTAGTCTGCATTTGGTCTTCTCTTTTATTTCATTTTTGCTAACACATGACATTGTTTTACAGAATACAGAGACCTTTGAACACTTCAACATATGGGATCCTTTGGTCAAATTGCTTTTAGGTCTATTGTAGAGAGTGCATCATTTGCAAATGCATAGTATACAAATCGAAAATAAATGAGCTGATAGCAATGTATAATTCTGTACATGGCAATTAACATCTAARGTTCCCCAGGTCTTTTAACACTGCTCACATTGTGAGGCTGAATTCATAGCTTCAGCTTCACAGTGTTACTGTAACTAATTGTATACCTGCCTCTTACATACCTGCCTGTAACCATACCTTCATATATCCYTGCAGTATGTTTGCTGAACAAGCCTACAAAGTCTTTACTGTGTAACAGAGAAAAGGAAGGTAGATGAGTTGTTTGGAGTTCTTTGGTGAGAGTTCATACAGTCAAAAAGAATATTCAAATGTCCTTGGGTCTATGTGTTACTTCTTCAGTCCTGTGCAATACTTYCTCTATTTGGCACATGAGAATCTGAAGCTAAATGTAGACTCATAATGAATTAATTCAGGTGTCAGGCATTTTATGTATAGATGAAATGTTGAAAATAATTTTCCAGGAGTGTGCTTTGAGAGTAAAATGTCCATGCTGAGAACTGATCCTTTCTGATTCAGGAGCCAAAGAAATTTCATAAAAGATAAAATCTCTTGCTGAATTTAATCAGCTTTGGATCAGAGCCTAAAATATTCTGTTAAGCTTAACTTTTGCAGGATGATAACAGTTTAACTGAGAATATTTCTCTACATTGAAAATGCCTTGTGAACGAATGTTCACTGCATACTGAAGTACTTTGCATTATTTTGAATTTTATACAACCTCATAATTTTAAAGTTATCACAGTAGCAGAAGCAAAAAAAAAAAAAAAACAGACAAACCAAAATTGAATTGTTTCTAATTGCTTTAAATGGACAAAACTTATTATCAACTATGATGAATCACAGCACATTTATATGAATTTGATAAATTCCCCTTTAATGTGCTTCTTCAGTAAGTATCACCTTCCAGAGCTTAAATGTATTTTTTGTTGTTTGCAATAGAGTGGTATCAAATCCTACCAACATGCTTACAGTTTTTCTAAGGGGTTGCTGCTATGGCAAAAATTATTTTTAAAGAAAAATTTCCAAATCAGCTAAAAGTGAAGTAGGTAGCTCGCATAGGTAAAGGCACCATAAACTGTGCTGTGATGTGTTGCTAACTGATATGTGATAGCTTCATTTTACCGTTTTGCTCTAGATCAAGGACAGGAAGAGTGATATTAATAAAGCTCTGATACTGAGTGAACATAGCAATACTAATTTTATGTAAAGTTCCTAACTAATGTAGAGTGCAATAAAAACGTCATGAAGATTAATACTTGGTGGAATTTTCTAATGCTAGGTAATAATTTATCTTTCCAACCTGGATCCGAGCTAGGTACAGACTGGTATATGCCAGATGGCAGATTTTGCTCATTTCTGTTGGCTGCTGAATGAGTTTTTGCTCTTTTCTGTGTCCCAGGTATGACATCAAAGACGACTATACATTGCGCATTAAGAAGGCTGTGAGCACAGATGAAGGAACCTACACCTGCATTGCAGAGAACCGAGTTGGGAAGGTGGAGGCCTCTGCTACCCTCACGGTCCGAGGTGAGCGTTCCCATGCAGGGAGGGCTTGTGTCTCCCACACGGATCGTCCGACAAAATGAGCCATGTCCTAACCTGCCGTTGGAGGGGTTGCACACATCCTTTGCAGTTGTGGCTGCTGCACTGATTTGCAGCACAAGTGAAACCCTCATCCTAGTGAAAATTAAACTGCAGTTTGCTTGAGCGGGATGGGATCTTCCTGAAGTTAAAGATCTATTCCAGTATATTTTTTTATTGAAGAGCAGCTACATATGTAGGCAGAAGCAAGYAATACATAACCATGGGCTCACGGTTTAAGATGAGAGGCGTCAGTTCAGTTGTGTTCCACGTTCTAAAAAAAAAAAAGAAAAATACAAGGAGCCTATTGAGTAACTGCGTTTATTCATGCCACATGTATTGCAGAAAGTATTATTCGGCRATTAGCTCTGGCATAATTAAATTCTCTGCCGTTACTTTTTATCTGAAAGATAAACCCAAGCCAAAAAAAGAGAAATTATTAATTAAATTTTGTGATTATTGCAAGGCAAAGACTAACATTTTTTCTCCTAAAACATCGTGGTYTCTCGCATCCACTCGGTGTTTATATAGTGCTGTTTGATGTGCTAAGGAGGTTTTAAGACCAGTAAAATGATGAGTTGCCAAGATGTCTTTTGTGACAGTAGATATAGATATGTCAAAGATTATGGAGACAGAAAGAAAAGTTTGTGGGCTAATGTTTTTATATGAGTAAATAGAATATAATAGTTATTACTTCATTTCCAAARATAAGCAGCAATTTGGCACAATGGATATCGTGCAGACACTATTTCACAGTTTAGTGGTTCATGCTGATGGCTTTCCGTAGATCTGTGAAAGGTTAATAAAAACATTTTTAGCTTTATCTGTGCTCCTCTTTTCATACACATTAAATCAAATGTTCAAAGTCTCAATGGATTGCTTTATTAGAACTGGGGTCAACTGACCCAAGAGGCCAGCTTCCATTTCCATCCATTTAATGCATGGACACAGTTCAGTTTAATCTGCGGAATTCAAAGGGGGTGAAAAAAAAACACCAAGAGTCTTTGTAGGGGAGAGCTGGTTGTATATAACAAAGAACAGAGCGTATTGTAATAATCTGTATGCTAAACTACTACCTCAGTGTTCACTTTAGATAATCAGCGATAATGCAGTTTTACCCGTTGTAAGCTGAAGGATGAAGTTTGCCTGCTGCATGTTGGCCCGGGCTTTTGTACCTCCGTTTTGTAAAATGAGARAAATAGTCCCTGAAGGGAACTCCCAGAAATACTGTCACTCTGTTCTTTGTCTCAGGCAGAACTATAATGTCCAACACATCTGGWCAGTTTGGTAGCCTTTCAAATTTCCTATAGCTGTATCTGCTTATCCCTTACCCGAACAGGACTTCTGTTTTTGCTGCCCTAGCCTTGTGGTGTGAACAGTGACTAGAAGCAAGCAAAACAAATCCCTCCAAATCACCGAAGCCTGAGCCTGATCAAATTAAGATGAAAAGGGAAAACAGGGAAATATATAATTTAATCTGTTTTCCTGCAGTAAAAGCAGGTTTTCATTATCTTGGGTATTTTTCCCCCCGGGCTTGTCATTTACAGTTAAATATGTAGTGTTTATTCAACACAAAAGAAGCCACAATATTACAAGCATATTAAATGTTCAGGATATGACAGAGAATGAGAAAAGCCAAGAAACTCAATGGGAAGCCTTATTACCCTGAATTTTCTTTTAACAAAAGGCTGGGCAAGCTCCTGATGACTTAAAAGGGCCAGGAGCCAGGGTCCTTTTAATCAYGGAAAGCTTTAGCTCTGAACACTGAGCCCTGATCAAGCTTCCCCTGAGGCTGCACAGRGGAAGAGGAGCGAGCGGCAGCACTTCAGCACCCACATGGAGGGGGCCCTGCTCCTTGCGGGAGGCCTCCAGTTGCATCTGCCCAGCGGGGCTGCCCGAGCAAAGCCCTCAGCTCCCTAACCCGCTTCCATCGTCTCGGATCAGGTGGTGAGGGTGCAGGCAGGCAGCTTGCCTTGCCCTGTCCCTGCTACCGAGCCTGCTCTCTGGGACTCAGCCTCCATGAGGGCATGAGGAGGTCCCTCATGAGGACCACGAGGAGGTCTCTCATGAGGACCGACCACGAGGAGGTCCTTCACGAGGACCACTCTTGGAAAGATGCATGTGGTTCTTATTCCTTCTCTCTCTCTCTCTCTCTCTCTCTCGCTATGGGAGAAGGAATATATCGTAACTCTAGAAGCCCCAGAATCCCAAGATATGCCTGAGATGATGCATGAGAAAGAAAGGCAGCAAGCTTGAAATGGGAGGTGGGGATGGGAAAGCAAGGGGAGGGACTGCGGAGGTCCTTGCATGTGCATGCTCTGTTCCCTAGGAATCCTCGTGTCTTGATGTTGGCTCCAGTCTGCACATAAGCATGTAAAGCTGAAAGGGAAGTTTCACCTACCTGATGCAGTCTGAAGTGAATTTTATGTCCAACCTCTCAGCTCTTCCTAAAGGGATATCCGTGTATTATTAACAGAGGGACTGACAGCCCTGTTTTCCAACTCAGGTATAATGAAGCGCTGTTGCTATAATCAAGGAATCACTTGTTGCAGCAACAGCTTTCAATCCTGATACCAGTCTGAAACAGAATTAACTTGTCGATCATTCAGGAGCAATTTTTTTAGGAAGCAGAAGTTATCTCAGAAGCAGTAATTTGGGAGGTTCTGAGTTGAAATCCCTGCGGCCGTTCCTTCCTGTTTGTTGTGTTTTCATCAGCCCTGTCAGTGAGAGAAAAGCAATGTGCTCTACGCTTTCATGCCTGTTATTGAATGAGGAAAACTGTCTTGGGCTTTCTGTAGCCCTTGCTGCTGTACTRACTAGCCATGCTTAAAATTCAATTGGTGTTTGACTCAGGAAGCAAATGCCTTGCATCTCCTGGCATGACATTTGCCAGCCTGTGGCTCAAATTGATGTTTTCATCAGGATCTGGAAGTCTGTGCTAATGCAGAGGTGTTTTTCTTCTATCAGGCATTAACAGCGCTACTTGATGACAGCGTGTGAGGTTAATAAAAATGTTTCTCAGAGAATAGTTCTGGCCAACTTGTTCAGAGACTATGCCCAAATAAATGTAAGAATTGTGACACATGACATAATAATAATAATAATAGCAGTGAGCATTTTATTTAGGCTGTCATTTGAGGGCTTAGCAATCATGGTACTATCCATAGTTTAACGTAACATTACACGTCATGCATTCTGACAGATCTTCTTTTCTTTTTTTAATTTCTTTTTTATGTTCTCACTACACCATTGTAATGTCAACAGCTCGCCCCGTTGGTAAGTAACCATCCTTCTATCCATTTTAGCATGGCCTCATGCAATGCTTCATCTCTCATTTGCAACCGCATTTGACTGCCTCAAACTAGCAGCCAGTGCTCAATAGTGCTAATTTTGTAACATCAGGCAAGAGATTTTGATGTCAAAGTGCTATTTCTAAACTTGGTATTTTCTGCTGTGCCATGTTGCCAAATCACCAACAAGCACCAATCAGTGAAACCAGGTGGGCTGGGCGATATTGCGCCCAAATCCCCAAATCGGTCATTTTTAAGTGTCTGTATAAGGGCCTGATACGAAAGCCACTGAAATCAACAGACAGGATTGCATTGACTTCGGTGAGCTTCTGTCAGGCCCTACACGAGCAGCTCATTCTGCTTCTAGTGCATAACAGCAAGAGCACGGGTTTTGCATGCCCTGTCTTTCTTGAATCTTTCGGAGAGCTGTGAAATAAAATAGTCCTGAAATTGAAGAAGGGATGGAGTAGATTTCCGTGCTTTTTTAAGAAAGTTCATCGCTGCAAAGCTTGATCCTTGCCCTTGGGTCATTGTAATTCTTGGGATGCGTTTTGGAATGCACTGTATCAGATGCACAGTATTTTGCATTACAAATCCCAGAGGACAACAGTCTCTGGATTTTTAACTCCTACTGTGAAAATTTAATTCCTTCCTATGCCTTCTAAATGATTTGTAAAACTTATGAAAAATCTAATGGAGYATAATGGAAAAATAGCAACTGTGAATAACTGACATTATTTAAATGTTATTCACGGATGTTCACTCTGTGCCTATGTGGACTTCCTAAATAATTTAACCAGTCACACTGTTCCTATGATTATTAAAGCTTGTATTTAGATGCATCTTATAGAATAATAATATTTTAATTCTTTGGATTAGTATGCAAAGTACTGGTGCTAACAGAGATTGCTGGGTCGGGGTGAGGGGGGCGTCTTTCTTTATGTAGTCAAAAGTTATGTTAGAGATGTGTTTGACTAAAGTTTATCAGTTTTGTCTTGTCACTGTTCTCCACTGTTAAGGGTTTGGGGGAAGAGAGGTTGGAATCACTTAAAGATATAATCCAGGTTAGCCCTGCTGATTCCAGGACAGAGATGATCCCATGATGTTCATGTGCTTGTGGATGTAGAGCCAAGCCAAGTACCTCTGCGGTCACGGCCTGCTGTGTCTGCCCTAGAAAACTACCCCTATGGAAATTCCCTTATGTGAGGAATGGAAAATCTCCCTATGTGAGGAATGGAAAATTCCCCTATGTACCTTTCAGAATTCCAGGAGCGAGCTTTTTGCTCAAGTCCTGAATTACTTCAGGATTACACTAGTTCTCATGAAATTAATTCCCAGGAGATATAGCAGCATTAAACWTGTGGCAAACTTGTAGTTAAATTGTTCCTTCCTGAAAAAACGGTGTGTGGAATATGGCTTATTTTTAAAGTGAATCTTTCATGTTAAGAGGGTTTTTTTTTCATAACTAGTAATAAAATGTATTTCTTGAAACACTAAAAATGCTCCAAGACAGGAAGTAATTTATTCACAGATATCCTTTTTCTCATGGCTCACTCTTGAAATAAAGAGAAGAAACATTCACAAAGTAGAAGCTGTTTTAAGCTCAGTAAATGCCATGTGAATTAAACGACAGAAAAAGTCACAAGAAAATAATACCCTTTTGCAGAGCTGCTGGTGCCTTATTACGAAACACTGAACCTCTGTTTTGGAGACTCTTCAGGCATCTTGGGCCGTGCATGATTCCATCTCCAAAACTCATACAGAAACTGTTGCTTAAACAGCAGGTACAGGATTCCTTTGTATGACCAGCTCTGGTCTGCTTGATGTTTACCCTGCCTAAGCTACTTCAGTTTCTTACAATTCTTACAGAAAAATATTATTTTTTTAATAATTTGTTCAGATAAACATAAATTAGAATATTTAATCTTAAAATAATTATAAGCATATATGAATCTTTGCCAGATAAAGCACAACAGAGTAACTTCCCTCTCTGACACCACTTCCCCACCAAAGAACCTGGTCTTCTGTCAAAAGTGTTCTGTTAAAATCATTCTTTGAAAAGAGTAGCAGGTCCGATTTTGYAGCATTTTTTTTAGTAGGTTAACTGGAATACAGAGCAAAAACCACTTCTCCTTATCGTAGAAAGCAAGCTAAAGCCAGCATTCCTTAATGCCATTGTGGTTGTGGCTGTCTGGGAGGACATGGTTTTAACAGGAAGACATTTACATGTTTATATTTCTCTTAAGGTGCAGAGACCCATCTAAAAGTTCATATTCTTTCACACCASCTCAGAGTTACCTGGGTGCTTCTGCTTTTCCTCTTTACCTCCTTTTCAAAGCAGTCGTGTTGAGTCTTTCTTGGGTTTTAAACAAAACCAAAGCCCTTTCTTTGCATGGCCTGTCACTGAAGAACAGAAAAACGTATTCTCAATGTTCCACAACTGCAAATCTTACTGAATCATTTTCAGAATCATTTTCTATTTAGCTTTTACCTGAGCGTTTCAAATATTTATGTGCTGTTAAGTTTTGACATTTTTGTTGGARTCTCAGCTTGAGTGAAAATTTAGGAGTGGGATTTTTGCTGCCAGTGGCCATTTTTGGTCCCAGCAGTTATTAGCATATGGCAGGTACTGCATATATGGAATGAGGTATGGTTCTGCCTGAGGTGGATGGCAGCTGGCGAATTTAACAGCTCTCTACCAGATTACTCATCATGTTTTGATTTGCTGCTTGGAATAGATGTGTTGCCCATTTCTAAAATAGATGTTCTCTTATAAACGAGCTTTTGRAAAGCTTTCTTATAAGAGTTACAACAGATGGGTTAGGAAGCTAGATGTTTATCCCTATTTAGACTATTTCTACTGTTATTTCACTCATCAGATGGTTTTCCCGAAGAGTAACTTGATGTTTTTGTGCTTCTTGTCCTGCTGCATTTCTTACGGAAGGTGTGCAGGTGAATAGCTGTAAAAATTAGCACTGAACTTGGGAGGACCCCAAAAGTTTTATATTAATCCCACCTAAATGTATCACTGACCAGCTCTTCAAAAGCTGTTGCTAAACGTTTTTGAGGTGGAAAACCTGAAGTTCATCTSTGTCTGATGCTTGCTAGCTTCTCAGTGATCACCTCAAAAGTTATTCAGATGATAGAGTGCTCACTTTTCAAATTAATCCTCCCTATATGCAAGAGAAGATACAGATCTTTCAGGTGCATCATATTGAGTCACGTCTGTTTATTGTCATATGCTACAAATCATCTTTCCCAGAAAGAAGTATTGTGTAGCAAACAGCTGGATTTTATTTTATTTCTTTATTTGCCCTGGATAGAATGGTATTATTTGGAATTATCTAAAAGAGATGATAAGATAACAACCAAGTTTAAAAATCTTCAGTTCCCCTCTATGTTGGACAATAGACAAGTAGGTAAGACATCTCTTATCTATTTTCCACCTTCCATACTAATTAAATAGAGTGTAAACATATTTAAATGAAATGTAACCATATGATGCACTGTACTCTTCTCAAGGAAGTTTTCTTCTCCTAAATCCACCTGTCATGACCATCTGGTCTATCAAGAATGATGTAGCACAAAGCATCTGAAACAGCAGTATGAAAAAAAMCATAGTTTTTATAATAAGCTTGAAATGACTTTGTTTACATAATAAGTAAGTGAGAAAGATCTGTCTTTATCCTTCTTCATTTCGCTCTCACTCTTCTTGCAGAAAAAAAACTCAGATAGCATAAATGCTGTGCTTTTATATATATATTTATAGAAATATCACCTTTAGTTTTATACACCAGCAGAAATGGTGGTGTGTGACAGCATCGGTGATGCTTGACGCTGCTGTGCCAGCTCTCAGARGCAGAAAGCTCTGTCTGTATCCAAGTGTTTCCTTTTGGCCATCTGCCTGCTGCCGCCGGCTACGGAGATTTTTGGAAGAGGTTAAGGACACCAACGGATTCCTTTGGGATTTGCTTCTTCCTTAAATCAATGAACCATACATCCTAGTTGTCCATCAATGGACAAACGATTTCAGGAGGGATTGCCATGAAATGAGCTCCGTATTTCTGTGAATAACAGGAACAAATTAAAACATGGAATGGATTTTTTTGCTGGCATTTTTTTTAACCTTCTAAAGAACTTCTTGAAAATCCTAAATATTTAGCATTTCTATTTTGGTAAAACTTTCTGAATTTGTTCTTGAATCTTAAGTAAGAACTTAAGCTATTATAGTAGCTTATATAAGTGTGAGAGAGAGCGTGTTAGCTACCAGACATTTTAAGTCCTGACCGCAAGCCCTGGCTCTGTTTTCAGCCAGAGCTCCCCAGCCTTCTGGGGTCTACCAAGCAGTGATTCAAAATGGGAATACATCAGTCCTGACAGAGAGCCCTTCTTCAGTGATAAGCATGAAAGACTGCAGTGTCACTCCTTGAAGTTTGGGCAAGGCCTGCTCTTCACTCCTGGGGTCTGTATGTGCCTATGCTCATCATGCTGTTCYTCTTTGGCAAAGTCCAGCTATGGCAAGTGCAGAAAGTGATTAAGGGCCTAATCTTCTGCTGATGAACTCCAGCACAGAAAAGGTTTAGTATGTAAATATTTCTTGAACTTACTTGAATTCATCATTTCTGCTGAAACTGGAAGGTACTTTCCTACCTGAGTGGATTCTCAATCTCTGCATAAGCCTTTGAAGAGTAGTGCTTGAAAAGACTCCTTTGACCTGTGATTCCACCAAAACTTTTCCCTTCCCTTTTTTTGAAAGGACAAAACAGCTACTTTTTCCTTCAAGATAAGTATGAAAATCTATGCATTAATCCAAGATCAGTATGAAAATCTATACATTAATCCATTCAGTCGTCAGTTTACCCTCTTTGCCCAATTGGTACTATGATGTGCCCTATTGGCACTACTGCCTTATTATCACAGGTTAAATAGAACCTTAATATTATTCATGGACAAACTGGTTCATGTCCCTTCTCTCTATGCAAGCAT